GCCGCGGGGGGGCGCCGGCGGCGGGGCATCCGGCGTACAAGACGACCCCCGATTTTTGGGGGATGTTTTTTAACTTCAGAGGTCATCTTGTACGCCGGAATATACGGTACCTCCTTTTTTGAGGTATAAGGATCTTGTGCAAAAGGGCAGGCAGTAACACTTCTATCATCAGCAAAGGTTGCAGCACTAAATTGTCATGTCATTCGGGGGGGCGCCGGCGGCGGGGCATCCGGCGTACAAGACGACCCCCGATTTTTGGGGGATGTTTTTTAACTTCAGAGGTCATCTTGTACGCCGGAATATACGGTACCTCCTTTTTTGAGGTATAAGGATCTTGTGCAAAAGGGCAGGCAGTAACACTTCTATCATCAGCAAAGGTTGCAGCACTAAATTGTCATGTCATTTTTCTTTCTCACATCAGTGTGCTTATATTCTACATATACGTATTTATGCCCTGCTCATCATAGCGGATGTAGAGATGTTATAATAATCCAAACACACTGGGTCATAATTATTTAATGAATGCTGTATGTGACCTGGTCAGTGGCATGACGTTATTATGTATTGAGTTCAAAGACTTCTTTACATGAGTGTATTGTTCTAGTTTATTAAAGGATGGTGGGAGAAACAAGAAGGAAAGCAACATAATAATTACGGATAGGCAACCTCCCAACAAACACATGAGGCAATTACAGGACAATGGTCTATTTCTAGGCTGTTTTGCCATGTTGAAAACCCATAGATCAAAAACAAGCTCTTTCTGGAGAGAATGAGGGAGATCAGTTGTCAGGAACTGTTGAAGAGGACAGACTATTATAGAAAGAGGCGCTGAGAAGGGAGTGTAAAGAAGCAGGGCCTTGCTCCAGATCCAGGTAGTGCTGAGCCCTGGAGGGAGAAGCAGGCCTCTGGATAGACTAGTTTATTGCTTTTAAAAACAGTGTTTTCTGACATATTTTTGTTCCCAGTAAACAATGCTTTGCTTTAAACAGACTATTTGGCTAATGAACAATGCTCCCTCTAATCTTTTCCATCCGCATGCAGAATAATTTTATGTGTACCGAGGCATGAGCATGCGCACCACCAATAGAAACAAAAAACCTAGCTGTGGTTGCACTGCTAATCAGCTGGGCAGCATTTGAATTTCTCTTGAGTGGCTGCACAAGTGCCTACCTGACAGGGAGCACTGCTACTGGGTTCTGCTTTTATTGTTGCTGGAAGGAGCAGAACCACAGGCACAGAGGATGGGTCAGGCTTGAGATAATCATGGTTGCTTTTTCATACAAGGTACAGAATGAATTAATTCTCAATTTCTTGGAAGCAAAAATGCTTTTCATTACTTTGGAGATGTGCTATAATGAATTGCTCTTATCTATTGAACATTAGTCTGTAGAAAGCTGTGATATTGTTTAATGCAGAAAGTTTACTTAAGTGTTTGGAAGAAGTACATTTTATTAATGCAGGGTATTTAATGAGAGATAGATTAATTCTGTGCCTAAGAACTTGTTTAGAAAACATAATGTGCACTATAGGAAAGTTTCAGAATTATACACTTACCCTTTTTTTAGTTCTCCAATGACAGCAACATGAAACCTCTCTTTGAAATTAAAGCCATAGGATATACCTGTTGCTATGACTGTCTGCAAGGTAGCAAAATTATCTACATTAGGAATTTCTAGGTAAGATAATTAAAAAGTCACTATTTCATACAGGTTGAACCTTTCTAGTCTGGCACCTTTGGGACCTGACCAGTACCGAACCAGAGAATTTGCCAAACCATGTGAAGTCAATATTATCTAGCAGCATTATCAACACTTCCACTGTTTACTGGACTCTCAGAAGATATTTAGGGGTAAATTAGAGCTAAATAACAGCACAGAACACTGAAAGCCAGGTCTGGTGGCCGTAAACAACTGGCCATAATCAGACTGCACGAAACTTGGCCAGACCCATATAAGTGGACATTCAGCTAACTAAAATCATGCTAGACCACAGATGTTGCCGAACCAGAGAAAGCCAGACTAGAGAGGTTCAATCTGTACCTCTCTTTTGCATCTTACTAGCAAACATTACCTCTTTGCGGTGCTTTCTAATCCCCTTACTAAGTGACAGATTAGGCCTCCAAAACCAAATATTTTTCTGCTAGTCAGAGATAAGTCTTAGAAGTTACAGGTGTACCTGTGTTCTAAATCACCCTGAGACTCCAGCAAATATTTGCATTAGTAGTGGAATACATCTCTACAAAATGGATATTTTCTGCTATTCTAAAGTAAAATAAGTACCACAATACTCTATAGTAAAATAGCAGTGTTTCTTGACCCTTTCTGGTTGGTGACGCCTTATCCAATGTTTTGCAACCTCATTACATTTAATATGAAAGCAAAAGCAAACACTCTATCCATGATACGGGCGGTATGTTTTATTTCTGTATGTGTTTTAAGCAGCCGGCAGAGAATAATGGATCTGGAAGTGTAGAGGAGTGGGGGGAATGAGGCAGTGGGACTAGTGTCATGGACATGGACATGAAAGGGGGAGAGCTACTGCAACTAATAGCTCAAGAGGTTATAAATAGTTGGATCTCACACACACACTGAAAGTTTTGGCCAATCCAAAGTTAGTCTGGAAATGTTATTCATTGATTTTTCTCTGGATTGTAACAATGTTTTCAATGCCTCAGACCCTGCACCAGTCACACCCCCCAGTTGAGAAATGCTGCTCTGCAGGGGGGTTCCAGCAGAATGCTGCAGGGCTTGGTTATAAGGGAAGTGTCTGATTTTACAGATGAATCAGACATAAAACATTTCATGAACAATACTTTTCTCTCTAGAGATATATTAATTACAAAACAGTGAACGAAATATAAAGCAGATAATGATATCTCTGTCAGGACACAAGGAACCCACAATGGACAGAAAGAAGGCGATAGTTGAGAGGAAGACTACCATAGACAGAAACAGGTTGAAAACCTGATTTGAGTGGCACTATTGTCACTATACACTTGAAATAAGGAAGAGAAATAACCCTTACCACAAAGAGTTCAATCGGGATGGGCACTGGTAGTTTATCTTTGTATCGCTCATTAATTTCTTTCACCACAAACACAATGACCAAGATAATGAGTGCTGTGACAAGATCCGCAATGTTTGTGTCCGTGATCTGCCTACCAATCTTTTCCAGACTCTACAGAATTAAAAAGAAAGAGAATGCTTTTGAAATAGGCTGTCTTTGCTTGATGCAGTGGGCATCAGTCTTTCCAAAAAAGAAAACATTTTTATTTAATTATTATTTTGGTCAGGATTTTGTTAGTGTGGAATGATTTGGACTGAGACTCCTGGCGAGTAAAGACCTATATTTATCCACAGATAGACAACAGCAGTGCTAGCTTCTGCATAATGGCCCTTAAACTGACTTCCTGGTCTCATCTCTAGGAGTGAGATGAGTGAATACTACTTAGCCTATCTGTTGAGATTGCTACCAGTGTTTGTGAGGAACTACAAGTCACATACTTGCCAGCCAGGATCTGCACTGAGAACAATAAACAGCTTATCATTTCTAGGACACCAGAAATCCATCAATTGGCCACGAAGTGACAATGATAACATAAGATGAAAAGCTGTTTCACAAATAAATCAGACATTTTGGGGAAAGAAATAACTGAACACATAAAATAATCTTCAGCATGTCAGTTTCTCTTTCTTTCTTTCTTTCTTTCTTTCTTTCTTTCTTTCTTTCTTTCTTTCTTTCTTTCTTTCTTTCTTTCTTTCTTTCTTTCTTTCTTTCTTTCTTTCAAATCTCTGAGAGCTATACACAAATGAAAGACATCTACAATATTTTATTCATTTAGATTCCAGTTCAGTAAGGACTGTTAGGACATGTTTACATAAGGAAACTATTTCAAAATAAGTAAATTCAACTTAGTAACTCCAGATTTTACAAGATTGAAATAATGAGTCCCTGCTAGGGGGAAGCCTCGAAATTAGTCTGAGGCATGCTCCGTCAATGAGGACACGCTATTTTGACTTAGAGCCCCAGGAAGCACTGGGGAATAATTAGTTCAAATTACTCTGGGGAGTAGTTATTTCAAAATAGCAGGTCCAGAGCACCCACACTAATGCTATTTTGAAATAACTATTTCAAAATTAGCGTTATTCCCCAAGAAAAGCAGGAGTACAGATTTCAAAATAAGTGGCCCTTTATTTCGAAATAATGGTCTTGGTAGTGTGGATGCTCCACTTATAAATTTGATCTAAGGGGGGTTATTTAGCAATAATGCCCTAGTGTAGACCTGAGCTTAGATACAAGTAAATGCCAAGACAATGCTGAATGTGCTCTTAAGGACATGTTAACATATAAGGCCATATAATTAGCTTATTTTGTGTACCCAACAATTTATCTAAATAACATTCTGTGATAACACATCTTTTTGAAAATTGCTTCTTTTCTTTTTTAGTCTGAAAATTCTGTTAGTTTAACTACTTAGTGCTATAGAGTGTGGTGTACTCTACTTGTTATGATGTTAGCAACTGAAGAATACTTACACAGAAAATTGATAATGGTTCTTTACATCCCTGAACTGGTAGCTGGAATATGAATTTCAACTGAGACACCACAACATGGATAGCTGCAGCAGTAGTGAAACCACTGATTAATGACTGAGATAAATAAATAATTATGAATCCAATCTGTAGTACTCCCAAAAGCAACTGTAACACAAAACAACCAATCTTTTGTTACATGTAATTGGAAGAGAAGTACAATATTGCTGACACAAATATTCAAAATCCTAGGATTGGTTTGTACATCATGAGATTTAAAAAAAAAATCTTTTGTTTTAAAAACAATGAGCAGTCCTGTGGCAGCTTAGAAACTAACAAACATCTAAGACCGTGAGCTTTGGTGGGTAAAACCTATTTCATCAGATGAGCTGGAGTGGAAATAACAGAATTCGAGGTATATATAACAGCAAAAGCAATTACCTGTCAATTGTAGGACCCATGTTAATTAAGCTAATTAAGTAGGCTACATGAGTTTCATTCATACCTTTTGGTGTGAAATGCAAATGTCAAAGGCAGGAGAAATGGGCTTTGTAGTGCTTTAACCAGTTAATATCTTTATTCAAGCCCAGGTTGACAGTGTCAAACTTCTGAATGAATTCTAGTTCAGCAGTATCTCTCTATAATTGGGTGGTAAAAATCCTTTATAGAAGAATGGCTACTTTAAAATCCATGGATGAATGTCCAGGTAGGTTAATTGTGATTTGTGTCCATTTATCCTTTGTTACAAAGACTGTCTGGTTTGGCCAATATACATGTCAGAGGGGAATTGCTGGAGTATTATGTTCAATTTGGGGCCCCCACTACAGGAAGGATGTGGACGCTTTGGAGAAAGTCCAACAGAGGGCAACAAAAATGATTAGGGGGTTGGGGCTCGTGATTTATTAGGAGATGATGAGGGAATTGGGCTTATTTAGTGTACAGAAGAGAAGAATGAGAATGGAAATGATAACAGCATTCAACTACCAGAAGGGGGTACCAAAGAGGATGGAGCAAGGCTGTTCTCAAGTGGCGCCAGGTGGCAGAACAAGAAGTAATGATCTCTAGTTGCAGTAGCAGAGATTTAGATTGGCTATTAGAAAAAATTATTTCACTAGGAGGGTGGTGAAGCACTGGAACGGGTTACCTGGGGAGGCGGTGGAATCTCCATCCATAGAGGCTGTTAAGGCCCAGCTTGACAAAGCCCTGGCGGGAATGATTTAGTTGGGGTTGGTCCTGCTTTGAGCAAAGGGTTGGACTCGATGATTTTCTGAGATCTCTTCTTACCCAAATCGTTTATGATTCTATGAATCTAAATCTCCTTCCTGTTAAGATTTTTTTGTGTATCCATATTTCTTACACATTATAAATGTCCCATCCCTCTTCTGTTCTGAAATTTGATTTGTCCTTTTCATATGTGTTCATTTTTTTAATTGTATCCTTTGGTATATATGGTTGTGACAATTTTCTTCCACTATTTGATCTGAGGAAGTGGGTCTGGCCCACAAAAGTCTTTAAAGTGCTACATAGTTCTGTTTTTTGTTTCAGCTACACCAGACTAACACGGCTACATTTCTATCACTCTTCTCAATAACCAGTGTATCAATATCTGTAGGAGCTTTCAAACAGCTTACCCACAAGGGTCCTGGTCAATGGGACAGAGTCACCTAGTTTGGAGGATGATGGTGGTGATGGTTTGATTTAATGTCCCTTGGGGCTGGCAGCGCAAAGGATAGATAGATAGATAGATAGATAGATAGATAGATAGATAGATAGATAGATAGATAGATAGATAGATATCATTAGGAGGGACTAACCTGAAAAATTCCAGCAACGAGTGTTACAGTTGCTGCCACATTTACCCTCTTGTTATCTAGTGCTGTTTCATTTCCTGAAGTGCTGTTTAAATTATTCTCACTGGTTAACTTCATAACTACTTCTCCCACCATTATACTCAGAACAGGGAATGGACCTAATGGACACAAAGTAATGCATGAAAACACGAGAGGCAAAATATAAGTTTCCATCGACCACAATTTTATTTCACATTTGAAAAAAGTTACAAGGTTTTCTTAAATGGAACCATATGCAATGAATTATATTTTTGGATTGTTATTTATTTATGTATTTATTTTCAGCATGGAGTTAATAAAATGTAAGCCATGAAAGAGAGCAGAGCAAATAGTGTGCAATATGACTTAACTTACCAACAGAGATGTGTCTGGAAGTGCCAAAGAAAAAATAGACTATAACTGGGTAAAAGGCTGCATAGAGTCCATACCCCGGGGGAACATACACTAGTAAAGCAAATGCTAGACCTGTAATGATAGCAAACACAGGCAATGTTAAGCACATTTTATAGAAGAAAGTCTACAGGATCTCTTAACGTGGACTAACATGGTACTTGGATCCTAACAAAAACAAAGCAAAAACATTTCTCAAAGATTACCTTGCAGGACAGCCACGAGCCCTGTGCTGATCCCAGAGACTAAGTCACTCAGGAGCCATTCCTTAAAGGGATATGTCCGCAACCAAGAAGTTATAGGTAACAAACTGGTGACAATATTCTTGGCCTTTTGTGGGGAACATCTGAAAATATGTGACAAGCCACAGATCAGTCAGCTAATAACTTATCTCAACTTGAGTTAGTCAATGGTGAAATCTAATCTCGATATCTCAAACTAAAGATAAGAATTTAGATTTCGGTCTGGCGAGGAACAACCTTCCTGGGCTATAGCCCCACTGCTTCAGGAACATTTTTAGGCAAAAGTGTGTTTTCAATTTATTTTGAAGCATTTGATGTTAAGTTTGAACAATGGGGTTTCATTTATTTTTCTGTTATCACTCAGACATGTAGTCATGGAATCTTCCTCATTTGCTCATTTATTGTGAAGTCAGCCATTGTAGGCCCCTCCTTTCACTTTCATCCATTATACTTGTTCTTGGAGATGACACTGAAGGACATATTCAATTTTTGTGGAAACATACATTTGACTGGGAGGACACATTCATCCCTGGTGGGACTTCATCAACAAGAGTTATACTAGGGATCATCTGAGTTGAATGGGCAGAGTTACTTCAGTGATTAACTGAACTGAATGTAGTTAAGGGATAAATTTATCCCTGAGTATAGAGAGTTAATGTTTATGTTCTCCTGAATGGGAGAGATGGATGTTGAAGAAAACAATTACAAAAGCTCAGTGATAGTCTTTACCAGACTAGTTGGAAGGAAGATTGTAAGGATATAATTCAGAATATCTAGAGTTAGGGAGCAGCTCAGGAGATCTATTTCTAACATCAATATGTACAAAAATGTTTCTTACCTAAAATATTCCTTGAGATGATCCAAAAAGGTTTTATGGTATCGATGCACTTTTTTATGTTGGTCACCAAATGAGTTCTCTGAGTATACCGGTCTGGCCACAACATACTGGTTGCCTACAGGTTCGACCATTTTTCCTGAAATGTTGAGTCAGGGTGGAAGAGTCTTATGTATATATCTTTGACACTAGTCACTTAAAAACCTGAAAATAAATAACAGAACGTGCTTTTTAAACAACTCAGGGAAAGCATCATGCAGTGCACAGATGAATGGACTCCAAACTGAGCATTACCACCTTTGAAGATCAAAAGAAACAGGATTAAGAAAGAGAAATGTTGTTTTGTCAGCGTGACCGCCTTCCCTCCACCTCACATTGCTAGGGAACACTTCACAGCACAAGGAAACATTTTTTCCAAAAGAGACAGCCAGAATGAAGAGATTGGGTCAGGGTTTGCTTATCTCTCAGTCAATTGTTTACCAATAAAAATCTGCCTCAAAGGAAACTGATCGCTGTTAAGACAATTTCTTGTTGTGACATTGAGTTTAAGTAACACTTTCAGCTGCCTGAAAGTTTGGGAGTTCCTTTTAACTTTAAGGAGTAAAGTTGGGTCCAATCCCTTGGACTTTGTGAATGATTGGAACTGGAGTCAAACTTTTTGGCTTGGATTTATAGGTTCTAATGAATGGCAGTCCACAATCATAAGTATAACCTTCTATATTATTTACTTTTAAGTAGATGTTTTCTTTACAACTTCTTACCATGCTTCTTCTCCATGCCCCTACACAATTCCTCATCACAGTCATCCCCTCGGAGTTATTTTCTATCTCATTCCTCACGCATGTTAACATTTTATTTGCCTGCACTGAACAGTTTTTACTGAGCTGTCCGCTATAATTTCTGGTCTTTCTCCTCAGTGACTACAGGGAATTTAGAACGCAGCTTTGTGAATTTGTAGATTAAGTTGTTCTTCCTAGTAGGCATGACCTCAATCTTTTCAAAAATTAATTTAATCTGCCATTGTTTCGCCCATTCACTGAGCTTTAGTATCCTCTGACATTCTTCAAAGTCTTTCTAGTTCTGATTAACCTAAATGATTTCGTGTTATCTGAAAAATGTTTCCACCTCACTGTTCAGCCCTTGTTCCAATCATTAGTAAATCTATCAAACATCCTAGAACAGTCCTAGAACAGAACCTTGGAGCACCAGTTCTGTAACCTTTTGCTGCATTAAAAACTGTTTGTTCCTACAACTTTGTTTCCTGTCTCTTAGCCCAGAGGTTTCCAAACTGTATTCTGTGGATCATGATGGTCAGGAGACAGGTAGCCATCCATTTAGTGTTAGTTCCTCCTTGTTTCCAACTGCTGAACTGCATTATGATACATAAAATAAACATCTAACATTCTGCTTCTATGTATGCAATTATTAAAGTTGTCAGAGATATGTTATATATTTGCAAATGGGAAAAAGTGGTCTGCATGAGTGTGACTGGGAGGATAGGTTGCTGAGTCAAGAAACAATCTTCATCAAAATCTGGTCACCTCTCCCCCCAAGGAAAAGTTTGTTTTGCCCCTTTCTCATCCACAATGGAATTCGACATATTGTCCCATGGCTATTTAGTTTTTAAATATCCTCTTGAGGGGGATTGGGTCATTGGCTTTTTGCAGCGTGGGCCCTTGGGCAAGGGGAGGGGGTGGCTCCACACTCTTGGAAGGAGTGGGGCCACGGGCTGAAGGAGCAGGGCTGAGGGCAACCAGCCCTCTGCACTGCCTGGTGCTCTGGCAGTGATTTAAAGGGCCCAGGGCTTCATCTGCTGCCACTGCTACCGTGGCAAGTGGTGGTGGCCGGAGTCCTAGGTCCCTTTGAATTGCCAAGCCCTGGGGCAATTTGCCCTCCCTGTCAATGGGCCTGGCTTTTTGAAAGTCCAAATAAATTATTGTCGACTGATTTTCCTAAAACAACTCTTTTGTTGATATGCTGTTTTTTTGCCTTTGGCAATGGTTTGAGAAAATTTTTTTTAGCTGTTGTAATAATTGAAAAAGCAATTTACTATATAAAAACCAGACCTAACAGGTTGTCCAAAAATTGAGAGTAAGCTATTGAGTATTCCAATAGACAAAAATAGTTAAAGCCTAGGTCCAGCCATAACTAGTTTATTCCAGATCCTGACCCAAATTTCTCTGAAGTCAACAGGAATCTTTCTAGTAACTGCAATGCCTATCTATCTTTAGGCTTTACACTCCTGCCCATCATTGTAGTATCTGAGCAGTTGGATCAGGGCCCCAGACCTGAGTCTAAGGGTGTTTAGATGGATGTAGATTTAAACAGATTTTATTCTTTCTTCTTCAATCCTTAATCTGCATGTCTTTGATATGTTTCCAGATCAGAATTTTCCTCACTGTAGATTTTAGGGTTGTTGTAATTCCTAATATGTAAGAATCTGCGTATGAATCTTTTAAGCTTCATGTTGCAAGATCTAACGCTGGTAGAATTTCTTCTTCAAGAATTCTGTACTTTATATATCACACCTAATTCTTTGAAACACTCACAGAAAATAAATATTAAAACATTGGCTGTACTTATACATCTCTCAGATATTTTCCCTTGATGCTGCAGCATTTATGAATTCCTTCAGTCATCACTTTGGTTTTATTGCCCTTCTTTTATCTTTCTTCCAGAGTGATAAATTAATTTACTGAGCTCAGAGTACATTGAGTATGTTTCTTTAGGGCTCTCCTGTGCTCAGTTCCACTTCACTGTTCCAGGGAACTCTTTACAATAGCATAATTATTTTATTAAAGTCTGTCTTATTCAAGAAAAGAGACTTTTCTCATAGAAACCCAAATACATTAAACATCATTCTTATTGGATTTTAATCAGTGTCCTCTAGGTTTTCACTTATAGTCCTGGTGCCTTAAAATTCTTACATCTTGAAGAGGATTTCTTGTTCTTGAAGGTGAATGTCACTGAATGACACTGAGTTCTATATTACTACATCTGTGCTTCCTTCTCCTATATGTTGTATCAGGTATCTATCCAATACTGTGACCCAGTACTGTTCTTCTACTGCTTCTTCTGATTTTATCCCTGTGTACATTCAAGAAGATAAAATCCCAGAATCAATTACATGTTGCTTAGGAATTAATTATTTTAAGTTTCATTTTCTAAATCTCTTTATCATTAATCACTTTAAATATTTTAAAGACAGTAAAATTCTGGACAGACTTCAAGACTGATGTCTGTCCTCTACATCACCACACAAAAGATGCAGCGTCAAGAAGTAGCCTAAAGTCAGTTTCCTAAACTGCCTTGCTAAAGTGTTTCTGCCATTTAATTTCCCCATTGAGACTGCTGTCTAGTTCTGTTATTGGCTTTTGTAAGGTGGTAACAACTTTCACTCACAATTAACCAAGGTTGGATTTGAACTGGTAGCCTAGAGATAATAGTTTGCACTACATGAGTTCTTGTATTGACCACATGGCTGTGGTGTTGAAACACTTTCTAGTAGTGCATCAAGTAATATGTATAACATCTGTCACATATACAAGACTTTATTCCATTACAAATGCCCTAAAGCATGTAAAAAGTCTTTGATAAAGCATATAATATTGAACACATGCTGTTATTTGAAACTCTTAAATACACAGCTGTTTCTGTAGGACTTTTTCCTATCTATCTATCTATCTATCTATCTATCTATCCTTACCAAATCCTCTCACCCCTGGCAAGCAAATTCTGTAAAGAAGGTTGTTAATCGTTCTCAAGAAATTATATAACTTAAAGCATTCTGATAAGTTATACAACCATGCTCTTAGAACTAATTCATGTATCATGCACAGTGATTGGTAGTTCTGTATCCTACCTGCGTGTTTTCTATGAAGCCCTTTAGAAGAAGTTATCCAAGAAATTCAAGGCAGAAAGTAACTTCCAAGTTTCTCCGAGACAGTGCAAGCAGCTACTGTTGTTCTTCATTTAAATTTTTTTCCTATATACTGGTGGAAGATGTAGTCATATGGGGAACTTTAATAACTAACTTCCATTAACTTTTACAAGAATATGAAGATTTCACTGTAGCCTTGACCGTTGAGCCTATACTCAGGCAGGATGATAAGAGTGGTTTCCTTAAGTTCTCTGTAAGATTGCATAATGCTGTTTGGGGAATTGTTTTTATTGGTTTACAGGGGCTAATATAGAAGAATACACATGCATAAAAACCCAGAGAAGTTGTTGCAATCTTGTGCTCTTGTCCTGCCACAAGTCAAATCAGTACTTGGAGGGGAGAACATCTCAAATGAACATCTGAGGCTTGATTTTCAGTTGTACTGGGGTGGGAAAAACTAGCATCCCTGAGAAACAGTTAAGTTGACCTAAGCTCCCAGATGGTCACCTGAAGAATTCTAGTCACTCTAGCTACTGGCTCTTGAGGGGGTAGGTTAACTATAATTAGGGAACCCTTCGCTGCCATTGCTGCAGCAAATGTCTATACTACAGTGCTACAGTGGCACAGCTGCAATGCTATAGCTCTGCTGCTGCAACATCCATAGTGTAGACAAGCCCTAAGTGTTGTAGGATGCAGTGGTGGCAGTTCATCAGGTCGTACTCTTCATTTCTGAAACAGCATGCCAGCAAGGGGATGTCAGAAATGCCAGCTTTGGGGTGGGAGATATTGTTTTCCAAAGAACCCAGGGGCACAGTTTTAAATGGACTTGGGTGCTGAAATATTCAGATAGGCATCGCTTGGGAGTTTCCAATGTGTCAGATACCCAAACTCCCACTGATAGTACCCCAGAAGGGAAAGACTTCTGTGACTTGGCTGGAGGGCCAAGTGGACGATATGGCTCAAGAGTGAGTACTGGAAAACCAGGAATCAGAACTGCACCTTGGGCAACATTTCAGGCCATTTCATGAGGAGTTTGAGTGCTGGGCACTGCACCTAGCACAGAGTCAACTGTGGTGCACAATGACCTGGTCAGGTGGGAGATTGCCCTGCTGCACCCAAGTCCATTATTGGGACTGATGGGAGCCAGCAGCCAGTAATGAGTTAGGACCATACGGACACTGTGCTGCTAAAACCAGTCCAAAACCAGGCTTTGGAACAGGATCTGCAGTAGCTGCAAAAGCCGGGTCCTCCACTCAAAGGAGCTGCTAGATGCACCCCTTGAGAAACAGCCCCTTGCAGAGCTAGCAGCAGACACAGAGGGGGCCATGAGTTTCTGTCTCAACATTAATATTCATTCATACAGTAATGGGAGGGATTTCTGTTCTATGGCCAATGAAAAAGTTCTAAGAAGCCCTGGCTGGCGGCGTGCAGCCTCTAATGGCATCCGCTAATGGTTTGGTGTTTCCTCTCCCTCTCTCCCTCACCACATGAAGGTCAAAACAGCATTTGAGAAAAGCAAACAGTAAAGCCTTTAAAATGAGGTTTTAGTGTAAAGGCACAGACTTTTGCTCGGGCCATTCCTGTTTCTTAAAAAAAAATTGTTCATTGTCATGCCTGTAAGTACGCTGTGCTATAACTATTTAATGCTCTGTCAAGCCACCTGGAGACAGTGAGCTGTGTAGGGTGAGGGAGATGGAAATATGTTCCACTACAAATCTAGTCCATTTCAGTTTGAGGTAGTCCAGGCAGTCCATAGGTGACAAAATCATTTGTACGATATTAAACTGGAGTTTGAAATTTTGTCCAGAAGTGTGCTGGTGGAGGGAGGAGGAAGGTTGTGGAGTTCTGCATGTTTGCATGTGGCCAGAAGAGGGTAAGACAAATGGATACTAATGCAGCAGCTTTCTGATTTCCTCATGAACTGTGACCCAATAATGCATGCTGATATAGCTACTTACTTTTCTGAAAGCCAGAATATCAGATAGGTAGTCACATCTCAGAGGAAAGGCATATTTTTCAGGGCCACCTTGGAAGCTGACCAGACCACTCCACTCAGAGATGTGTTGTTCAGTCACTGTATTTTTGAACACTTTGGTGGCATTCACTGCAAGTTTCCCATCAGCAATTTGGAATAACATTTCTCTTTGCTAGCTGGGCACATTGGCTACGTCTACACTGGCATGATTTTCCGGAAATGCTTTTAACGGAAAAGTTTTCCGTTAAAAGCATTTTCAGAAAAGCGCGTTTTGATTGGCAGGACGCTTTTCCGCAAAAGCACTTTTTGTGGAAAAGCGTCCGTGGCCAATCTAGACGCGCTTTTCCGCAAAAAAGCCCCGATCGCCATTTTCGCGATCGGGGCTTTTTTGTGGAAAACAAATCTCTGCTTGCCAGTCTAGACACAGCCATTAAGAATAGTTATGTCCTCTAAAACACAGAAAGCCTGAAATGATAGAAAAAGCTTTTGTAGTACAGCCACTGAGGGCAACTTGCCCTCCTTTACCCCCTGCGCTCCAAGTAATGTTGCAATTTTCTAAAACTGAAAGAGCAGACTTACATGTGTCTCAGCACTGGGCCCACAATTCTTTTGCTGCAATTAACCAGGCTGTGTCCAGGGAGTTTCTATGGTCTAAAGCATCTCTCACAATATACTGAAGTTCCATTTGTAAACGTAACATTTTATGTCCTTAAAATTCCACAGGGATTTCCTGCACTGAGCTATTGAGACAATGACCCTCTATTTCTTGTCCTTTTCCAGGCCCCTCAACCTCTGTAGGCAGCTTGTCCACGCTGCAGGAGAATCTGGGTCACTGTGTCTTCATGGACCATTCCAAGAGGAAGTATTTTTCCGATGAACTTTTGTCTGAACTTCTGGACAGGGCAACAACCAGGCCCAGCACCAAAGAGAGAGGGGCTTATGGCTAGAGGAAAGGTAGGGCATGAGGGTCAGCGGGAAAGCTTAGCCTGGCTGCATGGTTTGAGGACAGGGTTTCAACATGGGAGCAAGCACTTAGCATGCAGTTCCTACAACAGGAAAGGTAACTAAGGGTTTGTCTTCATAGCAGGGCTTAACTTGAAATAAGCTATGCAAATTGAGCTATGTCAATTGCGTAGCTCATTTCAAAATTGGGAGTGTCTACACAGCACTTATTTCTAAATAGAGCACTCTTGCTCTGACTTCCCTTACTCCTGTTACAATGGGGGTTACAGGAGTTGGAGTAAGAAGTCCTCCAGCTTGACAGTTTTTTGACATTACTTTGAATGTCAAACATTAGTTATTTTTAAATAATGTTGCTGTGTAGACGTACCCTAAATGAGGAAGACAGAGCTCAGCAGAGAGAACTGTCTGAGTGGCCAATATCACCAATGACCACAAGAGTAACAGCTCCTTCTCCATCACCCACACCATGGCCTGAGTCCCCTGTGCAGCATCTTGGAAGACTCCTTGGCTGAGTGGTCCATGCAGTTAGGCCCTATGAATTTTTGTACAGAGCAAACTTATACCATGCAGTCCCCCATATTGACTCCCTCCATCACCAAATGCATGGTCA